GTTCTGCAGAAATGGTAATGAAGTACATCTGAGCAAATGACCAGGCCATTCTACAGCACTTTGGAAAAATAGTTTGCTAGTGTCCAGGAATGTTATAATTGCAGAATTTGCAATAGGTAATCTCTAGTAATCACATGCTTCATTTATTTCCTTTCTCTTCCTTTACATCATCTGTTTGGTGACACATTCAGTTCTTGCTCTGTGTTGACCACTAGTATTTCCACAGGATGAGGAAAAAATAGACTAGCTGCACTTTCACATCTTGAGTGATCATAAGATATGCACTGATTTTGAAACCAGTGACCATACTGGTGAAAATTGTTCTGCTTATTTTTTTTTTCTCTAAACAGCTTCTTTGGAAACACTTCTTTGCACCATTGTGACCCATTTGAAAGAAGGTCTGAGTATACAATATTTTGGAAAAAGCAGTTGTAAAGGATACAAAAAATTTACAATGTACTGAAGACTTCTCAGGCATCAGGGAAAGAAGAAAAAGAAAAGAAGAAATTCTATTCCTTCTGAATAAAATTTAGCATTGAAACAATACTTCAGAATGACTCCAGCCAAGGAATACTGTAGATGAGATTGAGGGATGTACATGAACCTTTAGAAAAAGAATAATTAAATCCTAGTCCTACAATATCATGGCAGATTATGTCCTGAGGATGGATGTTTAATGACTTCTAGTTATTGTTGTAATTTATCAGATTACATTGTTTTAAATGGATTTTAGGTCTCAAAGACAGTAAGGACTTGTATGACATTTACGAAAATCAAGTCTAAACTTGAAAATTCCCACATAAATTGCAATTTTTCTGTGTTCATTCTTAAAAAAGAATTCCAAGGTATATTATGGCTATTCAGTGTAAAACAGAAATTTTGTTCTAATCAGACAATTGTATCCTTAGACCATGGACTCAGGGTTACAGTGGGTGCCCACATGAATGTGAGGCACCAGCATACTCTTGGTGCACATGAAGCACGCCAGGTACTTGGGTACATTAGACCAAGGGTGGGCTCTTGTCCCATGCTCACTCTGTTCATCACTAGCAGGGCGGTAGCTGAAGCACTGAATGTGGGTTTGTACTGTTCACGAACGATGAGGAGAAACCGGCAAGTGTTCAGAGGAAGATGCATAGGTCACTAGAGGCCTAGAGCATATACCTAAGGAGGAGAGTTTGAGCCAGAATTGTTTGTTTAACCTTTTGAAAAGGAGCCTAAGGAGTTATCCTATACCTCCTGTACAACCTGCAGTGATGTTGAAAAGGCATCAGAGACATATTTTTCTTGATAGGGTGAGGTTCTCTGAAGGGAAAATGCCCAAAAATAGCAGTTTGTGAGCTTCAGACAACACGCTGGTGATAGGGTTGGGGAAATTTGTAAACCTTTTGCTAGGATCCTTATAGATTGGACTAGGTTGAATATTAATATAGGAGGTTATTGGCTAAAGGAAGCTATAGATAAACTTACTCAGCATTGCAAATACTTTTTGAGAAGAGACTCACACTGGGGACCTTCAGAAGTCTGTTCGAGTCTATGTGTGACCTGTCATTCTACAGACAGCTGTGAACTGTCTTGTGTCCAAGGCAATGAGACAGAGTTTAGTCTCTTGAGCAGTTCCAGAAGCAGTGAATCAGAAATCAGTAAGCTGGCAGTGGTGGATTACATCAGCCTGACATGTGGTAGATCCCTTCCTGCCACAGAACAGTGTAAGGAGAGCATCAGAGATGGAAACACAGCTGCCCTCCAATTTCTGCATCTCCATTTTGAGCTGGGGCATTTTATTGCATTAAAAATCTCTGTACCCTTATCTTGAGAATCTTCTGCTTATTAATGCAATATTTTTGAAAAGTACAGACTCCATATTTCAATGTAAAAACTTTTACATGAACTATTGAGTTAACCACGTAATGCTATACAAATAAACTCTATGGCGGAGATAGTTACAAAGATATCTTTCTTTCTTTTCAGTGTATATCTTCAAATGATCTCTGTGCCTTGAAAATTCTGTAAAAAGTCCAGGACCCAAATATTTGTTGCATTGGAGACCAGAAACATTTCTGATCAGATCACTTTGAATATTTCCTTTTGATCTTGAAACACTTTCAGAAAAGTTCTTATTTTCAACATGTCATGCTACAAAATGATGCACTTTGAAATCCCAGGACTTTGAGACAACTTGAGACTCACTTCAAAAAATGGGCTGTGTTAAAATAGCCTTCCTTTGTGAAAATAAGAAAAACCTGTGCTGAGCATTAAAGCATCAAATTAACCTCTAGGTTGTTGCACAAGTGAGTGACTCTGTGCTGAACCTGCAGGCTCAGGGCCACAAATGTCACCCTCTGCATTTCTGAAAAGCATTTTTTTAGTTCCTGAGTGTTTGCTGAGGACAAAATAAGAGCAATAGAAGTGGTGAAATCTAAGAAGGTAGTGGAAAACAGAATACTTGATAAAATATTTTCCCTAGTGCTCGTGAGGGGCATAATTGGAGATTCTTCTTCTTCTTCTTCTTCTTCTTCTTCCTATTATTATACTGTTCTTATTCTTATTTTATAGTACACTGATTCAAGGAATTGGATACTGCTGAATGACTGATTATAATGCCGTATTAGGAATAAAAAAAGCTGAGATTACCAGAATTATCTGACATATTTAATGACCCAATTTAGTCTTAAATTTTATAAAAGAGACTGCCACTTGCCTAGTCTACTTGAACGGAATGCCATTTTCTGGGTCTTTAATATGTGAGAACAACTTAAAAGCTTCCCTTTGTGAACTATATGTGACCCCAAATATCCAGGAGAGCTATCACTGCACTGCAGAAAAACAAAGTTAAAGCAAAGGAAAATAGATAAGAAGAAAGGACAAGTCTAGCACGTAAAACTCAGGCAGACTTAAAAATAAAGAAAAAAAATGTACTTTCAGCACTATTGTCGAGGGGCAGGCTGTGAAATAAAAAGTTACCAGTTGTTTATGAGTTCCTAAATCTGTTCTGTGTTCTAGAGCAGACTCTCTTTTTTAGTGATTAATCAAAAATTGCACATTTTCCTGACTCTCCCACAAAGAAAATTGTGGTGCTGTCAGTGTTTTCCCCCACTCCACATGCTTGCAAGTGGAATATGGTAAGTAAAGACATACATGCATGGCTGCACAGACTCCCCTTTGGATAAAAATCCCTTGGCAGCAATGCCCTGTCATGCACAGGAGGATGCTCTGCTATAAATAAGGGTAAAATAAAGCATCAGAAACTGGCCATCTGTTTGGCTGACCCAACAAGGCAGGTGGTCTTTCTCATCCATATGGCCAACTTCCTAATAACTAGAGTGTGGGCAGGACTCAGTCACCCTCTTCTAATGTGAGGAAAAACAAAACATTGCAGAGACATTCTGGATGCCACTGAACCAAGATGTGCAAATCTTATTGGCAGATTTCTTTTTCAACAATTTTTTCACATTTCTATTTTGAGGAAGTCCTGTAAGATCCAAGTATCTTTGTGTTTATAAGAGAAAGAGAGAGTGAGTGATTAAATGGTGGACAGTCTCTGTCACAAAGGAAAGTGAAAAGTAGGATGCTTACTTTTGTGGGGTGTACTGCAGAAAGAAACCAGAGAAGAGAAGTTCTTAATTTTTTTAGATGTTTGAAGAAGCCAGGCAAGCATTTGACTTGAATGACCAAAGTCTGTAGTTTCATCCATCAGTCACTTTTTAAAAGATAAGCTTCTTGACCAAATCTGAATTTAGTTAAATCTCTCTAAAGATATTTATTTTTTAAGATAAGATTTTGCCACCAAAATTTTGTGCTGTAAACTGTAAAAGCGCACAGTTTTCTTTTAAAGGCCTTCAAAATAACTGCTGTTTATATCACAATTTTATGTATTTTCATGATATGCCATTTTCAAATGTGTCTTTTTGCTGCTGGTCAAGCTAGGATTAGATTGCACTATCTTCATCAGCTAAGGAAGCTCCCAGGCATGCACCCACTGCTTACGGTGCACACATTTTGTGTGTATCTACATAGTGTTCTCTGAGAAAAAACAATGTAACTTTGATATCCTAAAAACAATAAGCCTGTAGTGAGTGGAGTTCATGCAGTGCTGTTGAAGGCTGTAAGAGGCACAATATTTTAATTTATATTCATCATACAGAAAACTTTATGAAGCATGAAGAACATTCTAGCTTTCATTCACCCAATTGGGCCTGCCCATAATTCCTTGTCATCTGATGTCTGAGAGCTAAATGCTTTTCCTAGTCTCATTCCAGTTTCACATGCCTATGTCACAAAAAATAATACTAGAATTGAGATATCACATTTTATTTTATCCATGCAGAAATTCTTTCTTAGGTGACTATTCTTTTCTTTTAGGTAGGAAAGTGGTACATGAAAAGAAAAAATACAACTTTGAGAGAAAAATTGGGGCTTCAGTCTGGTCATGATGTGATATCATCAGGGTTGCAAAAGATGAAGTGGAAAGAACATCTAAGTTCATAACTCAGCTTCTGACTTTGGCTAATGACAGCTGCCTAGGAGAAACTAATAAACACAGTGCAAAGGTATAGCAGCACTTTTATGGAACACTCTCACTGCCTATAAATATCAGTGTCTCTTCATCCTGAAAAATATTTATAATAAAAAACTCTTCCTTATATTTTGTTACCCTTTTCTTTAACTGTGCTAATTTCACCCTTTTCTTTACTAAATGAAGGAGAACCTAACTGTACACAGTTCTAAGGAAGACAGGCTACCACAGATCTGAGTGGAATCTGAAACTTAGCCAATACTGCTTGAAACTTAGCAGAACCAAATCCAGCTATTTCTGCTGTGCACACTAAAACCCATTGCACTCTAAAATAAAATTTTATTATCTTTGTTCATTATTTGCTTTCCTTAGATCATAGTCACCACAGACAGTAGAACCACTCCCCCAAATGTGCAGAATTACTGCTTCTTTATAGTGTGAGGTTTTTGCAATTATAAAGCAATACAAGCAACATGTTACTCACTTGTATTTATCTTCTGAAGTGAAATGTGCTTTTCCAGGTGTCTACGAAGCTTTACCTCTGCTCCATATTTACCAGTAGTACCATTGTCAGCCAAAATAAAATGAGAATGCATGCTATTGAGCACTGTCAGCTTGCTCATGGGATTGGACATCGTCTGGTATGGTCGGACCACCTGCATTTCAGAGACAGAGGAAAAAGAAGGCATACTTAACAGAAGAGAGCCTCTGAACTAGATCAATTACAAGATATGAGCTGACAAGATGAAACAAAAGAAAAATTCAAACTCAAAGTACTGCACTTGAGCACTACTGTCTTTTGTATGTAAAGTAGAAAACGACCTTAACACTGCCCTTTCAGATGCAGACATGGCTTAAAGGGTTTTCCAGGGTAATCTGTTTCAATAGTATCAAAGTTCACGGCTTCATTTAAAATCCAGCTGATGGTCAGTGCTCCAAAGGTCTGGGTGACTATGCACACACACTGTATACTGTGTCTAGTGCTGACTAGCTAGACAGTTGGTGTAAAATCTCACCTTGCTCTGACCAAATTCTTTGATTTGTCCTTCACATACCCCACCCGGCACCATGCCTCCAGTGTTGGCTGGTGCAGGACCACCAGCACTGGAGATACACAAATACAGATGAGTTCCACTCTTGGAGAGGTGTACACATGATATTACACCATATTTTCAATTTTCTTGGAAAAACTATTGGCCCACTCCTAGCATCAGTGAAAGGGCAGTTGGGTGTGTTCACAACAGCTTTAGAAATTTTTTGTTCAGTGGGGAGTTTGCTTCACTTCCTTTGATTTGATTTCATCAGGAGAAACTGTGCAGCAGACTGAGTAAATTGCCACAGAGTTATCCCGCTCATAGCCACCAGACAGACCAAATAATAGCATGGGGCCACCTTTGGCTGTCATTTGCTTTGGTGGGTGTCTGTTGACATAAGTAAGACTGTACTAACACAGTAAAACAATTGGTGTTGTGTCAAGGCATCCTGACTGATACTTCAAAGGTTTTCTAGCAATACTATTCTCTGCCTTTCTTATGTAAGTCTTGTCTTTTTGGAGAGACAAAACTGAAAATCTGTAAAATGAAGTCCTAGCTGAAGAAGTGCTGCAATGACTTGTTATAAAACTCAGCTGGAGACCATCCTTCATTTGCAAAGAATTTTCTTTAGAGTTCTGACATCCTTCATTTTTCAGGTCTTGTGCTTTTAATGCACAAATATGTACACTCAAAATTTGACACAGATGATTGCAGAGAGAAATATAATAAGTTATTGATTTATTCCTAAGCTTTTCTCCCTCTGTAATACTAAAGAGATCTCTAGTTGAGACACAATTATTTTAAAACAATATGTGTTAGCAATTCTTTAGCCAGAGATCTCTCTCTATATATTATTTTCATTTGTTAATGTCTGCCTAAGTTTGATCTGCTCTTAGCCACCAAGGAGAAATACACAAACTTCTTTTGGTGTAATAAACTGTCATGTTAAGGGTGCTCTGTAAGCTCTTCATCCTGCAAAAGGAGGGAATAGGTCTGAGAAGACCTAGAGGGCAGCTGGCCAACAGCAAAGGAGTGCACTACACTCTGTGAGAACAGGTGAGAGCCCTGGCTCAGATTTTATTAATCTGAGCTGCTTCTTTTGGTGACTCATTCATAACAATTTATTCTATAGCTGCATATGACTTAACAAATATCAGTACACTGATGAAATGTGTTTAATAGCTAGCTTCCACAGATACAGAAGCCATGTAGCCCATGGCACTGTCAGAAAGAGAAGGAAGGTTCTTTCTCACATCCCTGAACATCAAATAAAATCAAGTTTAAACAGTGCAAATTTTTAAAACTGATGTCCACCCTATCTCTCAATAAATGGACACCAGCAAGGCCTTACAGTAGAGGAATCCTTTGAGTTGCCCGTTCATTGTATGAGTACAGGCCACTGTGCAGACAATTCTACTGACAGCTTGTGGTTTGTTCCTGAGAGCCACAGCTCAAAACCTATCTGTGACATCTTGATCTGCAGCTCTAATGACTTGCAGTACTGAAGCCTTGATATATTGACTCAGTAATGCTGCTGCAGGACAGATTAGAAAGCTAAGCTTTTGTTCCGTGTTTAGTTACAAGGTGAGTTACATTATTAATAAATTTAATGGATGTGAAAATAAGACTACAAGTATTTTCAATTGAACTGTTCACAGCATGCACAATTCCACATCTGAATTATTTTTTTGACAATAAAATTTCCCAAACCACACTGCAAGATTCTTCCTGAGAAAAGGATAAACAAAATCTTCAGGAAGGTAAGAACATACTAAGCTTTGAGGCTACTTCCTCGAGGTTACTTGCTCTTCCACAACACCCAGCAGATTTGTGATTTCTGACTGTTGCAATTTCCATTCATCTGTTCTTTTCAACGCCTTGCATTTTACAGGCAAACTAAATAATTGGAAAAAACTATGACTTTAAGCTGTTTTCTCACTGTCTTTTTACAGATGCAGAATCACATGACAGTTTGGGCTGGAAGTGTCCTTAAAGATCATGCAGTTGACCTTAAAGACCACTCACAATGGGCAGGGACACCTTCCACTAGACTAGATTGCTCGAAGTCCCATCCAACTTTGAAATGAGAATAGGGAGAATAGAGAGACTAGGGAACAATGTCCCTTGATACCTTTCTCTGCAGAGCTGAAAGGAATAGTTTGTGCTCAAGACAGTCCCTCCAAATACAGTTTAATGAATGTGACAGCAGCCATGCTGTGAAGCAGTCCTCATGCTGCATAGGATGAGGGAATTCTGTCAATAGGTGAGTGGCTGGGCTAACCCCAGCCCTTGCCTTTGCACCCTGAGGTGGCAGCGAGCTTGAAAGGGAAGCATTGTTGTTCTCCTTAGATTCCCTGTAGGCATATGACACTCAACATAGAGACTTGAAAAATCTCTCAGCGTAACTCACCATGACAACGAGCCTGCAAGTGCCATGTGAACCAGTGCATGAATCTGAGCAGTCTATGTGGAGGCAAAGAGTTTGTGACAAAGAGCGAGCTCAAAGTAGTGATGGAAAAAGAAAGGGATGCATGCTTTGCTTTTCAAGGAGCAGCAGCTGTTGTTCAAATCAAACCATTTCTGCAGCCTTGTTGCTCAGGAGCATACCAGGGAACAGAGTAGCTCCTGATTTAATTCAGAGGTACCTGGACCTTTTGGTTCATGGTCCAAATTCTCCACATATGCTACAAATATGCCAGTCCATATCTTTACCCCTGGTTCTCCTACTGAGAACTTAGAATTAAAACCAAATGAGGACTGAACAGATCCTGAAAGCAGTGACATGCATGCTACAGTGACTTACAAAGTGTACTGTCTTAGAAGGCAGAATGGTTCTGTGTATAGGAAGAAACGTGTTTATAATCACAGTTTTCTACAAAACTGAGCAAGCCACTATACTTTCTCAGTTCTATCAGAAAATATGGGGAAATAAGGCAACTAACTCCCTTGTGCACTTTGTTTCTAAATTAGAATCTGAGAGTGTTAGGCGTTTCACTGTTTTCTGCTATATTGCTTTTACAGTAGTGAAGTAACACGTGTCTTTAGGGATCTTTAATCATCACAATATAACAAATAGCAAAAAGCAATAGTATTTCCTTTAACTTGGTCAGTTTTCTTTATGGCTCTGAGGAAGTCCCCCAGGATTCCTGAAGGCTGACTGACTTGGAAGGGCTGGTAAATATAATTAAAGTCCTCAGCTATGGCTTCTGGATCCATAAGGCTGAGGCATTAGCAGAGGAACACCTTGGCTGGGCATGCCTCCCTTGCCATGAGACACAGGGAGGCCACAGGCACTGGGGCATGTGCAATGGCCACAGCTCCCCCTCTGCAACCTCTTTCCCTCCAAAACCCATGGCTACAACAGTCTTCTGCCTCTATCTGATGCTGGAAGGGTAGGTTTTTACAACACTTCAGTTCTGACCATAATTTAACCCGACATGGTGCATATAGGCATAAATCCACATTGATGCCAGAGTTCACCAAGCCTTTTACTACTGGTTGACTTTTTCTCCCCCCTGTATGATCCTTTGTGGCCTTTGTTTCTTGCTTAATGATGATTCATTTTACATGCTTATGGTACTATTTACATTTCCCCTTCTCGGTTCATTTCACAGCATTCACCTCTAATGAGTCAGTCAATACAGTACACTTTGATTTTTAAAAAGCTTCCAAAACAGCTTCCTCAACAAATCCTTCTAAAGAAACTGCGTGCACTGAATAAGAGAGAAAGTCCTTTGAGGCATAAATAACAGAGGAAAGCTGGGGGGGAAGGGTGGGAAAACAGTGAGAAGGAAAAAGTGATTTTGTGAAGGCCCATACTAAGTGACATTAGCGGCCTACCTCAAGCTGTGTTATATTCTGTTCAACATAGGTGTAAGGGATTTGTGATTAATTAGAGGGTGAAATGCGTACAAATATTTCAGTGGACTAAAGTCTTCATAAAACAGCCTGATGAGGTAATTAAATGGAAGATGAAACTCTATATAAATAAGCATAAAGCAGGATCCATTACACATGCATCAGAGATGAATAAAACCAGATGTGATTCAGCATTACATCATGCCATTGATCAATAATTTTATAAAACTATTTGGGGCAAGGAGGTTGAGAGGATAAATTTTATGCTCTCTATCAAAGGTGTATTTTGAAATATTTTTGTTCTTAGTGATGACCTTGTAATTGTAACCCTACTGACATAATTGTGTCTGCCTCAATAGAAGAAGACCCTACCGAAATCAGTTGTAACTTCATATTAAACTTTTTAAATTTTGTATCTGATGATCAGAGTAAATATTAAGTCTCTTATAACTTAATAAGAAAGTTTTTTTTAAAAAAAGTTGTTTATTTTATTTTGGACAACTTCTTGTTTTCCTGTTCAATTGGAAGGATATTTAGAGGAAAGCATTGCTTAAAGAAATCAGAAGTCTGGGGAGCTGCTCCGCTTGGCTGGAACACCTGGAAAATCAAGGGGTTTTTTAGCTTTTTCTGGGAAAGAAGGCTCCAGATCCCCTTAAACAGTCAGTGACTGTCTCAGAACTGAAGTAGCTTTACAACAGGAGGAAAAAAAGTAATAAAGGAATAGGAATGTTTGAAAATTCATGGCTAATTTTATGTTTTTCTTAAGTTCTTTGTTTCCGATGTTTTTCCAGAACCCCATGCCTAATCACTGAAGACTATATATTTGAAAATTATGTGTACACTACACTTCTTTAAGAAGATACAACGCATCCCTGTGATTAGCTTTTTCTGCTAATTACCTTCTGCACTGCACCTCAGAAGAGTTCATTGGTGACTCAGAATTACTGTGGCAAAGTCTGATCATGCTTGTTTTTGTGGTATTAGAGCACAAAACTCCATGCTAATACACTTTCCCCTAACAGCTGTACTTTCATAGTGGATTGCAATAAACTCAAGTTGGATAATTTTCTTTATAATCATTGCAACTCCCCTGACTTGAGAGATACTTGAATCTTCTTTCCCTTCCCAACTTGGACATGGATACAGAACATACACAGAAGAATGTGTTAGGTTAATGAAGACTAGGAAGAAGTTCTTTATGCAGATTGAAAACTGTATCTCTTCCACGCATAGTTAGTCACTGGTTCTCAGAGAGATTTCTTAAGAATGAACCAGAAGAGAGAAAAAAATGGGTTCAGAAAAGTTTCAGGTAACAAATAAGCAGTGCAGGCAAACTATTAATGTATTTAAAATTAAGGAGTTAATCTTACTGTATTAGAGTTTTAAAAGAGAATATTGGTGTGAAAGAATAGGAGAAACACCAGTCCTGTCCTTCAGAAAGTGGCTGAAGGTGAATTATTTGAGGTCACTCTTATTAGGTACAATACCTAATAAGACCTTTCAAAATTGCATCAATAAAAATTTATAGAAGGAAATATATTCTCAGGAGGATAGCCTGAAATTTTGAATGTGACCAAGGCATTATGGTATTATTTGAAAATAAACCAGATTTCAAGTTTTGCAATCAGTCTTTTCTTAAGCACCTTCACATGTCCATAGAGTTCTAAAGATGAAGCTTTGATATATTTTCAAGAATGGCTTTTAATGAATTGCCCTTATAATTTATTTTTAAATAAGATGCAGTGCAGGAATTTTTATTGCTGCCATATCAAAACCTGCCATCAACCCTAATGGAAAGCCTGTGTATATATTGGCTTTTTGCTGCAGACAATAATTCTAAGAGGAATTGCTAAGTGAGGGATGGAGATGACAGGAAAAATAACTGGAAGATTTATAGATACTGGAGGTCATCTATGTCTATATAGGCCTTACATCTTTGCCAATCAGATCCTCTTGATTTTCCACAATCCCCCAGGGTGCTATACCGATGGTGCAGATCTTCCCTCGAGATTTTGAGGCATGGTCTTTCAGGGCATCTCCAACATGCCGAATGACCCCTGGCAAAGAAAGAGCATAAAACAAAAATTCATGATTATGTCTTTTTTGTTCATTCTCAAATGGATTTAGTATAGACTTGTTTTTTAGGGAATACCTGTGCCTACCCTTACAATTATATAAAACTATGAATACATTCCTTTTTTTTGTTAATTTCCGTGGATTCATTTTATTGAATCAAAAAATTACTAAATGAAGTAATAAGGAAAAATTACACAGCTTTAGAAAGAAGAATGGAAATGCTGACAGTTCACTGCAGCTTATTTATCTGCACTTGTGCTCACATGTGTATGCAAGCATTTGTGTATTTGCAAGCACAGAAAGAAGCACAGGAATTAATTGTGCTCCCCGCCCCCCACCCCCCAACTCCCTTAGAAGTGCAGCTCATACACAAACGCTCCCAATCAAGGATGGAAATGTGAAAACATCATTATACTACTCTGTGAAGAAGCTATTTTGCCGCTCTTTCTGAACAAACTCAGTTGCCTGAGATAGCTTCCAGCAGAGTATTAGCACCCGCCCTGGGAATCAGCGAGAAAACAGAAATTAGTACAGAGAGAATGGCTGCTTCCCAGCATTCTTCCAAGGGCTGCTTGCTTACTGTAGACCAGCTCTGGCAGTGTTTCAGTGGTATCTCTTTGCAAAGGACAAGTGCCATTTCTCCTTTCTTTTAATAAAATAATATTTAAAAATCTATCTATTGAGAACTATTTTTAGGATATGGCTGCACTGAAGCAGACCTGTGAGTTTGCTTCAGATGTTACTTGATTCTTAGTTGCTGAATTTCCATATTGTTTAAATTTCACAATTTCAAGATGATTGGATGGAAATTACAGTCACACAATTGTTAATATTCTGGTTTTAGTTTTCTGAACTGTAAATGACTGTAAATGTAAGAAAACTCCCCACAAGCTAAGAGATCCTCTATGTCCTTGAGTCTAGTATTCTTCCTGTGGTGGAAGGTTAAAAAACCCAACCCTGTACCTGCCATCAGCTATGAATTAAGCTGTGATCCAACAGCCTAAAGGATTTAAAGCAGAAAATCTGTCCAGACTGCAAAAAATTCTCTTGTTTAGAATAATCAGCTTTCAGCATGACATGAATATTCAGAACAACAGTCATGTTTATAATGACATGTTTATAAAACAAGCAGGTATGCTCTGTTTCTCTCATGTCACTGATTCTCAGTCCGACAGCAGTATTTCAGGACATTTCAGTTATAATTTTCCTTAATAGAAACTAAATTTTATAATTAATCTTCAACAAAAGAAACTTTACTGAGAAATTCTCAATTTTTAGGATTTCACAAATAATTTTCAGCTGTGCAGTTTGAAAACCTAGTCCTTGAGCAATCAAGTCCTTGAGTGATTACTGATATTGCAAAATCTCTTTTTGAATTGTTTGTTTTTAAAACACCAGAGAGCCACTTGAACTACATTGTTTTGTCTAGGAAAAAGAGTCCTTTTCAACAGCATTTATGATGACTTTCCTGGTTAATTTTTATTTTTTTGGCATTAGCAAATAAGAGGATTTGAAAAATGGTAGGAAGCAGTTGTGCATTTGCCAAGTGTTATTGTCTGTCCTTTTTAAAAAAAAAATCTGTATTTTGATTTCTACAGTTGCTCTGGTAATCAATTGCATTAAGTGGACAACATGTACATTCTTCTGATGTAATTTTAACACAAAACTGTTAAAATCTGTCTTTAACATCATCATGACAAGAGTATCTGAAAACTAATATTATTACCACCATAGTGCACAGATCAACATTAACGTGATTTTATTCCTTATTTTGAAGAGATGTGGGGCATATTACATTTGTGTCTATTTTCTAACACTCCAAAAGCTATGCCTCTTTGCTTTCTTCAGGCACCAAGCCTACCAGAGTTCAAAAAGACTTTGGACAACACTCACAGACACGTGGTGTCTGTGATTCCTGGGGCTGTCCTGTGCAGGGCCAGGAGCTGGACTCTTTGATCCTTGTGGGTTGCTTCCAACTCAACATATTCTATGATTCTGTGCTACTTGTATTGCTGCTGTGATAAAACTGAGTACTGTTTTAAATTTTATGTGCTCTGAAAACCAAGTCCAAGACTCCTATTAAGCATTTATATTCAAACATGTAGGAGTTGATCCACCATGCACTAAAATTAACACATGATAGAATGATTACACTGTTTTTCAGAGACAGTAAGATACACTCTTACTAAAATAAAAAATTATAGCTTTGTTACTGCAGAAAATGAGAATGACATAAGAATTTACAAGTTCATGTCCTAGCTCAAAACTTTTTGTAATTCTCTGTAGCAGAACTTTTTTGAGTTTTCCGTGCATCTCTCTGCATTTCTGCCTCCTTCAGGGAGGGTAACTGAGATGTCAATGCCAGAATTTTCTGTCTAGGGACCTATGTTTTGCAGCTTATTCCCAAAGTGTACATGCAGTCTGCTGGCAGAGTTGGGCCAGCTGCTGTCTTGGGTCCCTAGGACACCTGTTTGGTGTACCACAGATGCTCTTTGACTAGAAATAGCAGATATTGCTCTTGATGAAAATGTAATAGCAAAAAATTAGGTTGAGCCCTCTACGAGTAAGGAAGAAGTTTCCCACCACATCCAAAAACCAGAACTTTTTTCCTTTAATACTCTGGCTCACCTGATTAAATAAAATAAATGTCCTTCCTTGATGAAAGTCTTTTCAGTCTTGTGTAATAAGAGTTGGACTTCTTTGACTAGTAGCCCTTCCCTGCAGCTGATAGCTGATCTTATAGAAGTCTTCCTTGGTGATACACTAATAGAATTGCCTTGCAGGAGGTTTTATTTCTAGCTCCAAAGTGTGCTTTTCATACTTTAGCAAACCTTTTATTCTGTTTTATACCAGTTGTCAGGTTGGTATGAACTTCTCATTTTCTGATTTTCACACAGTACAGAAATTATTAATAAAATAAAAGATAGAATGGCTTTCTAATCTCATAATTCCTACTTCCCCCACCTTTTTTTTGTGATGAAGTCTCCTAGAAGCCACTGTGCTTTTATTTCAAGGTTGCTCTTACCTGTGTTTACTCCTCCAGTGAATATCCATGCTCCAGTTGTCATTGCAGCCTTAATAAGTCCTTTTCCAAAGACTTGTTTGAGTTTTGGCTGAAGTTCAAAATTCTGAAGGCCCCCATGCACAGAGATGAGAAGCTTGGGGAGCTCAAGTTGCCACTCTTTGGTCATCAGATGCAGAAGAAGGTCAGGCTTTGTGTCAAAAGACACACGTACATACTGTGGAAACAAGGGCAACAGTAGAGAGTAGAGAAAAGAAGATTGGCTATACCCACAGGTTTCTAATGTATGTTATCTGTGCCCAATAGATCACTTTTTTAATGACAAAACCAGTAACTAATTGCTAACCTGATGATTTTGTAGTTGAGAAACTAGAAATAATGGAACACTTGCACTTCACATGCTGGACAATTTTCTTTATTTAGGAAATTAAGAAATTAATTGTTTCAAAATCCTTAGCAGTGCTTGAAAGATTAATATCTACAATTTGCAAATGCAAAAACTGGAACAAAAATGTAAGAGGTCTGCCAAAGGTGACCTAGATAGTCAGGGTCACAATTGTTTATTTACTTGTACCTCATTTTCAAATTACCAAAGTCAAACCCTCAAAAGGTAAGAAATAACAGATAAAAACCCAGTTCTTCAAGCACACATAGGTTTAAACTGAGCCAAAATACCAAACTGATACTTTCCAGATGAAAGAATGCTAACTACATACAATTTCATGATCATAACTTAGAAAATTATAGATCCTAAAAGGGCTGTGAAACAAATGAATGCATTCCCAGTCGCTGGGAGATCATACCCATCTTTGTGTGCTCGAAGATAACAACTGCATTCAAAATTCTTACAGCACTACCATGTCACACAAATACCTGTCTCTCTCTGTTACAAGTCTTTCTCCTTCTCTTTCTGCTTCACAAAACCTGTGACAGGGCATGTGATAATTTTCTGATTTCTAGTTACATAGCAGAAACAATAAAAAATTCTTTCTATAGCTGCTAAGATCTGGAAGGACCCTCTTAATGAAATAAAATAGGTTGCAGAAAGCATTCACTCATCTGTCAAACTTCTGATTGAATCAATACCTGTAGAGAAACTTCAGCAGTCTTTCCCTTGATGGGTTGTCAGCACAGGCATCAGGTGCCTGCCTTAGCCTTCAGACTGAGGAATAGCTAGTTCTGATTTGTTTATGGTAATATGCCAGGTAGTATAATATCCATACATATGATGTAATAATTTTGTCCCTTTTTGACACGTCTAATCAGTATTTCTTGCCAAAAGTTTGTTATTTTTTAGCAATAAAAATAATAATAAACACCATAACAAAGTGGATTCCTTTCTAGTTGAATAAGAAATAAGGACTTGCATTTTCCAGAGGAAACTGATAATAAACAGGATTTTTTGCAAGAATGGGTTGTTGCACAGTAAACACCTACTGTTAAGATTTCTGGAAGCACAAGTCTCTTTGCACAACTAGTTTGGGGGGGAACAACCAAACCGAAAGCTGAGCAAGAACTTGGGAATGCACATTCAGCCCAGTGCATCAGTCAGGCAAATTCACAACAGCTACTGGACATAAAACCCACAGTTTTCATATCTGTCAAGCTCATTAATATAGATGAACTGCTTCCTCAGTAGCTACTCAGTCAATTTCCAGTGTGAGAAATCTTGTATGGCACTTGATCCCACTCACTGATAAAAGTTTTTAAATTGGGTTTTGAGGGTTGTCAAAGTTTTAACACACCAGAGGGGGTATAAGAAGAGTTATTCTTTGTCCCTTTTCCATGTCTTAAGGGAGATCTGAGGCTGCAAAGGGCACCTGGAGGCATTCACAGACAACATGGGGCCCACATAAAAACACTGTTGGTCAAACTATAGAGTTTTTGGTTTGGAATCACTGGTACCTTACTCTGCTTTGTGGTGAAGACAGATTGCAAGACTTCAGAAGATAATTAAGGTGAATGCATGCTGGCAATGACCATACAAATATGTTGAAAACATGCCACCGCATCATCTGGGATGATGCTAAGATGAAGGCACAAATGGCATCAGATGTGTATTATCTAATCTGGACAGTGACTACTTTTTTCTTTGGTTTTTTATTCTTTAGATTTAAAAAAAAAATACCACAGAATGTGTGATTTCAGTGTCCCTACCTTCTTAAGTCTATGTATTACTCTTCTTATACACATACTCCTCTGAATTCCAATAAATATAAATCTATAAAGTGATTAAGAAAGAAGTATTTTCTTGCATTTATTTGAAATGTAGACAACTTATATTGCGAGCAACTGCTTGTTTTTCAAAACCCCCTTTATACTCAGTATAACTTTACAAAGTGGAAATTTAAGAAAAAATAAACATCTAAGGTTTATTCATGTAAATTAAAATTTAAATCAAGTGAGATAAGATTTAGTAGTTTAGAAGTTTTTGGCAAGGATGCCAAACATGATTTTTCTTTTGTGCATAGCAGTCAATTTTTATGGCTATTTGAATAACTTTTACTCTTAGAGAAGCAGTTTTTAGTTTGGCATACTTGAATCTACTCTTTTGCCATTACTTAATATGTTAGGTAGTAACTAAAAGAGAATTCTTCTGTCCTATTTTTAAAAGTTTACATTAAGTTATAAATCACACCTTTAAGGCCACTTCAGCCTGTACCAAAAACTCATGTCTTCCAATCTTGTAGTAGAATATTTATCCCTATCAGTTTTTGCTTAGAATGTTAATGAGTATTTATTTTGTTTCTGAATTCTCTTGCTATAGCTTCTGGAGGCAGATACAAAATTTGAATCTAAGCCAAACCACTATGCTGTTGTGCTATGAATTTCCATGCCTGGGATATCTGTCAGCTGTAGAAATTACCAGTTCTAATGGGAAATGATTTACCCTTTCTTTATGGGAGAAGTATATGGACAGGATGTAAGAATTCATTTTTCATGTGTTGGCAAAGCAGGGGAATTAGGAAGCAAAAGTACAGTTCTGAATCACAAAACCTACAGACTGACCTGACTGGCATCAACACAAAACGTGAAAGGACACAGCACCAAGCTTGAGCTGCAACACCCATTTCATCCCAGACCAGCACAGTGGTGGTCAGCAAGAGAGCATTTGTTGTTTCACTTTTTTTGTCAGGTGTTCTCTAAAACATACCTATGCCCACCATCAGTCAAAGAGCCAGATACTTCCAAGTTCCATTCCAGTGCCCTAGGGCAAAAATCAAAGCTCCTGAGAAATAGAATTGCTACTCTGCTACTTAAGCATAGCTGTCTCATTAAAGTACTTGGTGAATGATTGCAGAGCATCAGTGATGAGAACATAAGTGAATAAATTAGACTCAAAATCTTGTTGTATACCTGAAAGTAAATCTATTCAGATAATATTTTGTGATCTGCATTCTATCATTGCTCCTGTCTTTCTTTTTGGTAAGTTTTGTAAGTTTCTATCACAACAGATATGTGTTCAAATTAAAGACTGCTTGCCCCAAAAGCGTGATCCTCAAAAAAAAATAAAAATTATTCTCCCTGAATTAAACAAAAACCCTGCTACTTAGACCAAAACCAGATTGGTTCTGTATAAGTTATTAAGTTATTTCTCCATGTAAAACACCATCTTTTAAATTCTGCAAATATTTTTTAAGAAGTAATTTACTATAACAGAAACAATGTTTGCTGTCTTTTCATGGTTTATGCAAGTTATATGATTATTTATATGATTCTCTTTTTTTTCTCTCAAAAGCCCTGATGACTTTTGACACCCTTTTATACAGTTTTTATAAAACCCAATGCATTTTAAACCAAGAAAAATACCTTTTTCTGTGACTGACTTCCAAATAATGAAGTTTTAAGGATCTGAATATTAGCAACTTTGTGTAACTAACTGTTAATGTTCATTGGAATTCTACTGATGTTCTTTCATGTTTCCTTATACCATAAGAAAACTTAAGCAGATAACACTGTAGTAAACTTCCTTTCTTTTGCAGCTGCAAACTTATTTTAGGACGTTACTCTGCATATGAAATGTATCATTGAAATGCATTCAGTGAGGAGGAATCTATTTAACTCATCAAAGGCTTTTCAAACAACTCTCTTGCATTTAACACTGAAAAACTATGATGAAAAGATTTTAGTTCTGCAAAGCGCAATCCTTTAAAGAAGTTTATAGACAACCCAGGCTCACCAGTTAATGAGATAACATTAAGGAGGAGTGGGTATGGGTGTGTCTAAAGCCAGATAATGTATTAAAAAAATGGGTTTAGTTTGCTCAAAAGTGCAGTGCACAGAACATCTCAGCAAGATTGTCTTAATGGGTACACTGATGAACAGAGTACATTTTCAAAATTTTCAGAATATTGCTTTTAATTGGAATGGAATCATGCACATGAGTTTGATAACTGCTTTCTGATTTAATAAAATGCTTGTATAAAGTGAGATAAGTGTGTTACTTCTTAAACTGCAAAGAGACGACTAGCATAAGCAGATCATATTTTATTAGTTTTCCTGTATTTTTCTCAATTTTATTTGTAAAACCTATTAATAAAATTTATGTACATCCACATGCCTCTCACATCTTTTTACAGTTGTTAAGTTTGAAAATCTGCTATAAAACTGAAATAATTGCAGACAAGCAAAATCGTTAATTACATTTCTTACATATTAATGAGATGAGTCACTTGTAAAGAAATTATGAGATTGACAGAGATCTAAATACTACAGTCTTGTTGCAGGATCATCTGTGGTTGCATGAAACTGAAGGAAAGGCCTTTTTAGTAGCTGATTTTGTTAACCAGTGTTACTCAATCTCAGCTATGTGTTTCTATATAATATCCTGCAAAAATTATTAAGCTATTTGTATGATTGGTTTAAGGAGGATAATACAGCTGTGCTGAAGATACTTTAACAACTCTGTGGCATTGGAATGTTGTTTCCATGTGGCTGTGGAAATGGAATTAATGGCCCAATCAGTTCTATTTACACTATGTAAACCTATACTTTGCTGTTGTGTTCCAAATCCGTGTGTTTTGTTAGAATTTCAGTATAATTTTCATTTCCACAGCTAAAGATCTGTTTGTTGTTGCCTGGTGGCAACTGATGTAATATTATATAATGGAAAGTATAATTACACTTACTATATATTTTGTATTAAAATCTAATTCTGTTACTTTAAATTGAGAAAATAATTATCTGTCAGTTTTACATTGAACTAGTCTGTTCCATTGAATTGACTCCTGTTTTCCCAATTATAAATCAAAGGCTATGGTTCCTATTAATAAACCCCACCTAATTCTTTGAAGTCCAATTCAGAACAATTTAACAATTTTGCTGTTCACACAGAAAAAAAAAAATATTGCTCAGTTCAGTGTTTCCCTTGCTTAGTAATTTACATGTGTGGGCATCCATTTCAGGAAATATAATAGGGAATAGGTGAAAAATTTAACACCAATTTTTCCTCTGAGGTTTTTCTTGATTTGGTCAGCTTGGCAAATCTTGCTTCTTTGTAAGGTTATTTTATTAGCCAATAAGTACAATATGAACCTACCATGATTGCCAGCAAAAACCAGCTTGCATGCTATAGCATTATTTGGTAGCCAGTACCTTGAAAATTACTGACACATTTTTAGAAAGGAATATATTTACATGTTTTCTCCCCTTTACCTTTCTTCCCTTATGCACACTTATAAGCTTCTCTGCGTTTGGGTTTGAGAATGTACAGCTGAACATGGATATTTCTAAGAGCCACTATGTACTTGCTCTTTTTTTTTCCAAGCCTTATTTTATCAATGTCTCCTTTTTCCCTCCTCTGCTGAAAAAGTTGGTGGGTTCCTTTGATTGAGAAAATTCTTGGCTTCCACTGAAACCTTTGGAATTGTTAAATTTTATTATTTGTTAAATTTTATTATTTTATTATGGAAAAATCCTAGTACCCAGTAAATGCAAAGGTAGGAGTTTAACTTTCTATAAATAAAACTGCAAGAACTAGTTAGGCAACTTTTTGACCATAGTCTACCCTAAAATAATGTTTGGGTATGTAAATGTGAACACAACGACATCTTCATGCTGCTTCTGTGGCAAACACATTATAACAAAACTCTTTTATCCGTTTCCATTTAAATTGTTACTCAAGCCTCGTTATTTGTGCCTTGGTCTTATGAAAGACATTTTCCTCACTGGTGTTAAGCAATCACAAAGCTCATTTGAGAGATATTTACTGGATTGTTTAATCTGAAGCACTTTTCCCATCAGTGGAATAATCAAATTTCTGGAGATTTTATAGTTTGGTTTTTTTGAAGACTGGAGAATTTGTTTTATTCCCATGTTTTGGGTGGGGTTTAATGATTACAAACAGATGGCATGTATAGCTCTTGATTCTAGTCTGACAAAATACATCGGGAGAGTTTCCAGCAATAAATACATTGTCTTTATCCCTAAGTTTTAACTTGTTATTTAGTTTTCTGAAAGTGTAAGTCCCTTTTTCCATTCTTATTTTTCCCCTTTTTCTCAACTGTTCATGGTTTCACTCCTGACTGCACTCTGGGACAATGTTTTTCTTCCCTTTACGCTGACTTTCAGTTTTACCTCCACTGTTGCACTTCAATTATACTTTGAGCACACAGCATGAATCTTAGAGCGTGCCTGTCTCTTCCGGCACTATGCCAGGACATCAGAATCCCAGCAAAGATGAGAAATCCTCTAAGAGAATTGATATCAACAGCTTCCCTAAAACCTGTATAATTTCTTGGCTCCCCAAGACTACTTTTGTCTGGGTAGGGCTGTTTATTGCTTTATAGCAATCTTCAAGGACATCACTGAAAAAGTTCTTATCCCTTTTCATAAAACTGATCCAATACAAAGAATCCATATACGGTTAATAACAGTCATTTCTGTATCTTTGGACCTCTGACCTTGCAGTTTTTTAGGTGATTGGTTATCAACTGAACATATGATGTCTGTGATACTCTCAGAGAAATTACCTTATTTTCTGTTTCTTGGTACAGCAGTGCTTTCTAGTTTCTATCAAATAAGCAATCCACCTGCACAAACAGAACCATCCACTTGAGAAGTCACTCCAACTCCAGCACTTCTGTACACATCTGAGGAAAATACTTTACCCTCACTAGCATAGTGCCTGAGATTTTTGCTGTCTCTAGTCTCTGTTTTTTATGACAGATCTGAGTCACCTGTTGGGAAGAATTCATGCACAGAAAACAGTACTGGATTGCTGGGCAGGTTATTCTGCAAAGTGCCCAGGAATTCAACTTCTGCCCTCACTGCCAGAGCAGTGTATTGGCCATGAAGTGCCAGGCACATACTCTTCTGTCATTCTCAAAGATCCAGGTTCTGTAGTTTAGATAGAGTCAGAGTGATTGGTCCTTTCATGTAATATTACATAGAAGAAATACACCCATGGGTTAGTGTGTGTACTGGAAACGTTTCTCCAACTTAGTGGAGCAAAGCCTTCAGACCAATGCACTTTGGTACCACTCCACAGGGAAGGAGTAATTTCTTGATCAAGGGATATTGTAGTTCCTGGGGCCTCTCATTTCAATGAAGCGTATGAAGCGTAAGTCTAACTGGTCTATCTTCCTATACACGTCTGGAGGAATATTAAAGGGAATTTGGTATGTTTAAAATCTGTCAGTTTTGCAGATACAGCCAGCAATGGAAAATCATAGTTCAATTCTAAAATTCTTCAGAAAAAGAGCAATGAGTAACCATTGGAATAAAATTAGGACAGCAGCACATTAATGTGCCTTCAGTATTCATAAAGGCAGCTCCTCTTACACTGCACTCCAGTTTTTACAGTTAATTTTGTTCACCCACTCTTTGGCACGTGATACATAAAAACATACATTCCGGTTGTACACTCAATAACACTTTAGCAGAAGTTAAGAAAATCTGGTCCATTCTTTGTAAACGCTTACTTTTAGCTAGCGGCATTATTTATCTAAGAGAAAAACATGGTTACCATGGCTTTATTGGAGTGGCCTCCTCCTTGGAACTCAATGGTTCCAAAAGCGTCCGTCGGGCTGAGCTGCGTGTGCTTGCTGATGGACCACTTCTCCGACTGGATGTCATTGCGAGCAAGCCTGGTTTCATTTTTCTCATTCTGAGTAACGGAGGCGCTTGGAGGCTGTCCAATGTGTTGACCTGTTAGACGCCCACAGCAACACCTATGACATTAAACAAGCAGAAAACTCAAGTCACACGTGTGTATAAACTCAACAGGGAAACAAACTACAAAAACAACTCAACCCCTTTTCAGCTCTGCTGATACCCTTCCTGAAGCCTTTATGTATGGAAGCAACAAAGTACATATACATATACATATACATATACATATACATATACATATACATATACATATACATATACATATACATATACATATATATAACCTTTTTTTCCCTGTGTCTTGTTTACTTGGATTGTCCCGCATTTCAAAAAAAAAATCATGCTTTGTTCTAAATGTGCACAAAATGAAATGAAAGATCTCTTTTCTTCAAGTAACATCAGGATAAGTATTCAGATTTTTCATGGATTAGCACAAATTTTAAATTGCTAGTTTAATGCATCTATTTGCTACAGCACACAGTGTTGTGTGTCAGGCATCCAATTTAGGTAAATATTCAGTGCACTGAATATTGAGCTAAGAAGACAAGGAAGTTAAACACAGATACTGACCCACCCTTGATTTATCTTTTTTCTTATGAAATAAGGTTTGAAATGTAAACAAATAGTTCCTATAGGAATCCATCACTCCAGATGTAATTCAACCACGTTCTGAACAAACAAGTTTACAAATATTTATATCCGGATCCATTCTATGCATACGAGTCTTTTTTTTAACCAGTTTTCATTTTTCATACAAGTAACATGCAATTACCTATGGGGGTCTTTGGTGCTGGGTATGATATGAACACATTCTCTCTTGTAAAATGCTCTTTCTATCCATGATTTCTGCGCCTAAAAAAGAGAAAGGAAACACCTTGAGCTCTGTTTTCTTATAATATACAACTTATAGTACAACTGTAGATAAACATCAAACAGAAGAGGAAATGTCACTGATTCTTGAGAGAAGCACTGCATATTTTGTAGAGGGCAAACATTCCATTAGAACTATGTTTCCCTTCTAGAGCTAAGCACCCAACACAAGCTTTTAATATTCTTTTCTTGTTCACTAGCTGGATTACCTCTTTGCTGTTACCATATTCTCCTAACAGAGGAAGAAATCTCTGGAGAAGAATTAACTCAAACTCTAAACCTTTCTGCATGGCAGAAAAAAACCTACACTTATTCACTAAAAACACTTCTGTTTGCGTATCAGTGTTCAACTAAGACAGCTCTAATTAAAAAACCTACAACCAAACCAATAAAATAACCTGAAACATTTTTACACAAGCATTGAGAGCGCTGTTTAACACAGAGGCAGAAACTACAGTTTCCATGTGGACACCTTAATTAAAAAAAAAAAAAAAAGTTAGGAAGAACTGTTTCTGAAACAAGACACAAAAAATTTTAATATATTGAGTCAGATGATTGGCAGGTAGCCTCTAAAATAGTAGCTATGGTTGATCATAACACTCAAGATCTTCCATCACATATTCACACAAGAGCAGGAAATTTCCTGCAACATAGTCTTAATTGTCAGATACACAAGAAGTCTTTTCAAACAAAGAGATGGGTAGGAAAGGAAAAGGGAAAAGAGAAGCACAAACACAAAACCAGAAAGGAGAGAATTTCAGAGTTCTGAAATATTTTTAATTATCTAGGAAATCCTCACTCCATATAATATGAGTTCTGGCAAGCTCTCTAATACATTCACAGGCATAGAACTCTATTATTTCATTTAATAAGATGAGTTGAAGCTTTCCTTTGAAAATTCATTTAAAACAGATTAACTTAATACATTTAAATAATAAAATTACCCACTTAACTGCACAGCATAAACAGAACTATAAACTATGGACTATGACAGAATTATGTGAGAATTAAGTAATGTGAAATGAACTTTAAACATTTAAAGGAAATATGAACATTTTGCCTCTATGAAAGGACAACTTTTGAAATTGCCTGTGTAACTAATTAATGTTACTTTTTACTATGCAAGGATATATAAGTAATACCTATATATTACTTTCACTAACTAATGCTACAGCACTGTCTAATGTTACCTTCTTGTCAACTCAATCTGTACCCTGTTTTACATGTTTAAAACCAGAACCCTCTGCTTCTGAACCATGTGAAAATTACTGTGAACTAAAGAAATTTCTTGGAGTTGGTGAATGTCACAAGCACAAAATATAAAATAACATCACAAGAATTTCTAGCTATGTCTACCACTTACCAGTCCCAGTACATAGAATTTATTCTGCTTTTTACAGAGAAAATAACTCCTTGCCAGATCTGGTGGTTACTGGTGCTATTTAACAATATTTTATCTTTAGCGTCCATGCATGGTTATTTGAAAAATCTGCTGGACTTAATATTTTGTAGGAATAGCAGATATCTAGCATCACTTTTACAATCAGAAAAAAAAAAGTCTTAGATAAAACTGTATTTGACTGTTTTTTTTCATGATACCAAACAGAAGGTTGGGCAAGATATGTTTTGTTTGAACAAAGTATAGTTAATAGAAATTCTGAAAGCTAAACAAGTAATACTTCACCTAAGAGAGACTGCCTTGAGATTTAATTTATTATAACTTCTAAATATCCTTTACTAAATATATTACTATTTTCAACCTTTTCTGCAAACAATTTACCATGGTGAATTTCCTGGCTACATAGAACAAATGTGTGTTTTCTAAAGGTGGTCACTAGCTCAAGTTCCAGTACAAAAAGGCGCCATGACAGGTACTTCACTGAATTTTTTTCATTGGGCACAAAAGCAAGCTTTCAATACCCAAGAAATTGACATTTAAAATTTGTTTTCCTACTCTTTCTAATATTGCTTTTGCAATTGGAAAAGAAACACAGCTACATTAAAAATATAACAAAAATAATAATTTGTATTTGAATTTTCATCATACTTCTTCAAAGGTAATATTGTAAAAATAATAGTTGGGTTCAAAATCTCCTTTATTCACATCAGGAAAGGATACTTTCCAGCTTTTGGAGCTCAAACAATGTACTCTCCTACCTGGTAGAGTTGTGATGACAAAATATGTGATTTACTAATCCCCTAATTCCTTGTCCTTCAAAATTTAAAAGAAAGCATCTGGTTGCACTGTGCCATGACTGTTATCTTACTGCAAAAGATAAAATTTGAAATTAACTGTAAAGCTCAGATAAAATTTGAAATTAACTGTAAAGCTCAGAGATATAATAAATTATGCTATTTGCTGTGGAGTCTTTGTTACATCATAACTTCAGGAAATCAACATATTCATAACTAAACTGTCTGCATTAAAATCTTACTTATAATGCGAATTAGTAAAGAAATAAAAAGTTTAGAAGACTACAGCAAAGTATTTTCAGAACTAGTAGAGCAAGAAGCTTATCTTCTTCTCTTCAAATACTCCTTCAATAAGGTTAATGAGACAATTTAAAAGTTCACAGTGAATTCATAAACTACACGCCATCCTTTAATTCAGTTTATTCATAGTTTAACTCTGGGTAAGTCTCTCTCTTTATTAACCTTGCTGCAAAATCCCACCAAGAACACGTTGTTTCTCTCTTTTCTTTACCTGAGTACCAGGCTTGGCGTTGAGGCTGTCCCGGAGCAAAGCCTGCTGCCCACGTTTCTCCGCGGCCGGTCATTGCTCATAACACGACTGTGCCTGGCCCCGTGCAGGGCACTGGCTCTGCCCGCGGCGCAGCGACGTGGGAGCCAGCAAAGCCCTCGCACCCATTAGCTGCTTGGAATGTGCTGCTCTGGGATTAGCCTTGTTAAGGGTTCAGTGGGCACTCACCCATGGCCCCGCAACACCGCTTGGTCTGAACATCTAATCTGACGCCAAAAGAAAAACAAATCCCTTGAGAGCTTGGATTTAACTGGCACAAGCCTTGATGGGTTTTTTTGTCTGCTCTCTTCTTTGCCTTTGAGAAAGCGAGCTGGTCAAAGTGTGATAAGATACTCTGAGTTCTTAAGTTTGACTCAGGAAAACCAATCCATCAAAAGAAACACTGTACTAAGCTGGAAAGAGGTTGAGAACACAGGAGAAACTGTTAAGCTCCAAAGAATGAAAGCAGTGTGTTTACTGGGCAACTGTGAGAAATCTATACACAACTGAAATATATTGTAAATAATCAACAATAGCATTTTTCCAAAGAAACTGGGGTTTTGTCACTGTTTCCCACCAAAACTGCTGTACTGTAGTGCATATAACTTTTCATAACCAAACCTTTGTCCTTCAGAAACAAGCAGCTGCATTGTTTTCATCACAATTAAAAGCTGGTAACTTCAACGAAAAGTTGAATATTTACAAATCTGGAGACTACTTCTTTACAGTGCCCTCTTGATATTAACACGGATGAACAACCTTTTCATACGAACACTTTAATTTTTGTTTTAGTATCTAGCAATAACATAGGTTTAGTTAGTTACTTCAAAAGTTTTCAACACACAAAGTATTTTGACTTTTAACCCCCATCACTATGTTTGCATTAGCTCCTCTCTATTCCTACATATGCCTACATCCCTTCCTTTCCTTATCATTAAGGGTGCATATAATGCATGAAAAATATTCTGTCCACCCTTGGTAATGATGAATACACAAGCACAAAACTGTTCTGCATGTACATTAGCTCTGATGGGCCCAGAATGGGCAAGGCTGAGAATATGCATTAACTTTTAAACTTCTTACACCATTGCATGTGTGGAGAAGTTTCTGCTAGGCTGGCTAATCCATGAGATCTTGGTTTCCTAAGTTTTTTGGTAAAATACATACATGTATTTTGCAAATATTCTTGTATATATTAAGAATGTACACACACACACACGCGCACACACACACACACACACACTACACACACACACACACACGCGCTTACACACACTTTTCCACCAAACCTGTGACCTGTGAGGTTTCTGAACCAGAGATTGTGTGCTTATCTTGTCAGATCTCTTAAATGCAGGATTGGACCAAAGATGGTCTGTGGAGATGGACAAAGGCAAAGCTGGACCCAGGAAGGAAGCTAGTAAACAGCTCAGTGAGGTAAAGAATATGATGGGGAGTCAGCAGGTAAAGACAGCTTGGTTTTTAACACTAGGAAGTTTGGTTTGGTTGAGAGGAGGGAGAAAGAGTGAGGCAAAGAAAAGAAAGATCTCATGACTGAGGTAACTGGTTAAAAATCTCAACTGACTTTGAAGTGAAACTTTAGTATTTGAACCTGACAAAACTATAGAGATTGATCCTGGATTCAGGTTTCAGCTTGCAGAGTAACATGGGGCAAAAGCCACATCTTTTGTCTTAAGAAATCAACAGAAGAAAAGAAGAAATAATGGTTATATTAATTCCTACATGTCATCCAGTGGCACTAGGACATTTTATAGGTAGAGACTTCAGAGTTGTCATGTACAACTCATGCTAAGGTAATTGCAACTGTCTTTGCTCATTTAAAGGTGCATTAACTTAGGGCTGTGTGGCAATGAAACTACCAACGCCATATGCATTTCTATTTTTTGAGGAGTAATAAAGAAAGAGCCAGTACACAGAGACAGGTGTTTGTTTCAATATTGTACAACTGCAAAATAGTGCTTTCAAAGGTGGATGCTGCCCATTTAATGATAAAATCTTCCACCCACTCCACTGTTTGTGAAACAAAGTATTAAAAAGCAGACAGCAATGAACTCAGTACTGGTTGCTCATGGGAGGTGAGGGAAAATACTTGAAGATAAGTTTCACTGGGGAAAGAGCAGTGCTTGAAGCCTTTCTTTACTTTACAGGGGGACAGAAAGGATGGATGGGCAACGGAGTATTACTGAAGCAAATTACAGAGAGGATTAGAGGAGGATATGGTGAC